GTCGGTAGCAAGAACTTGGTTTTCTATAAAGGACAAATGGTTATTGCTTAGTAATCAAGCCATCTCTTGGTGCTCCCAACGTGCATGTCTTCCGTTCCAAACGGTGCAGACATCTCTGCTGGTACTCACCCGGATCTGTCGCTCGGTTCATTCGTATCAGGTCCCAGTACACCCGGCAGACCACTCCGTGTCCCGTCAATTTCATCACCTGCTCCTAGCAACGGTGATGGCCCAGACACACCCCTTCCACGCGCACGACGTCCAAGACAAAGCGCACCAGGAGGAAAAGGCGCTGCTTTATCTTTAAGAGACCAAGAAAAGGTAAAAAAACACCGCCGCCCACAGGCTCTATGTAAACTAACCTACACAACAGCACATCGACTCTCTCAAAAAAGAAAACTTTAACATCAAACTACGCGTTCATTTCCTCGAAGAGCGTCTTGCGCAGCTTGCACCCGACCAGATAGATGCTGCTCTCAAACAGAACATTAACCTCAAGATCGAGGTCCAGCAACGCGGTCTTGAGATCAAGAAACTCAAGAAACTCGTCTTGGAGCTTGACGTGATGTTGGAGCGTCTTCAGCGTGGCTCGACGCGCGACCATGATCTGGAATCGCGGCTGCACGAGCGCGAACGCGACTTGGAGACACAGCTACATGAGCGGGAACGCGATCTTGAGATGCAGCTTCAAGAGCGCGAGCATGAGATCAGGGAGTTGAGGAAGACCCAGGTCATCATTGAGCGCAGTGGGGACGACTCCATAGATCCCAGTTATGCACGGAAAGTCGAGGATCTGCGTGCTGAGAATGAAGAACTTCGTCATGAGCTCGAGCAGCGCGATCAACTTCTCATTGCACGCGAGGAGGAGAACGAGGCACTTGCTGACCATGCTGATCGGTTACAACTGGAGGTCGAGGATTTGCAGCGACGGAGAGAAGCGGAAAGCATTGAAAGGAGCGAGAGTCGGGCTCAAATAATTGAGGAGAGAGAGGAACGTGAGGCTGTGGAGGACGATCTCAACTCAATCCGGATAAACTTGCTGCCGCCACTATCGAGCTACAACAGGAGGACGAATTGGAGCTCAAGAACAAAGAGATAGATGATTTAATCCAGGAACATGATCGCGTCGTTGATGTTGTCGAGGAGGAGGAGGGGGGGTGAAGTCGAAGAGGCCAGGAGTCAGGTTGAAGAACTCAGAGATGTTTGTTTCGTTGTCCTATTTGTCTTCTGTCTCTCACTATCGCATAGGTCCTCGCAGAACGCGAAAACGAAGCAAGAGAACTCCGCCTCAATATCACAGAGCTCGAAGCCAATACCAACGACCTCCATGCCAAGTTCGAAGCCACACTCGCACATCTCGAACAAGAAGCAGAGGAGAAAGATGCCGAGCTCCGCGCTGCGAACGAGGAGATCGAGCAACTCGGAAAGCAAGTATACGCACTCGAGGAAGATGCAGATCGCATGGCCGAGGATCACGAACGTCAGAGAGAGGATGACGCAGTCGAGCGCGAAACACTAGAAGCACTCGCGTCTGCGCTCAAAGATGTACGTTCATTTTGTCTCTCACTCGAATTTCAAAAGCTCACTATGCAACAGAAAGTCTCAGGACTGAAATCCAACTCCAAGACCTCCAAGAACTCTACGACCAATCTCTTCAAGACATGCACGCACACCGAGCCCGTCAGGAAGAACTAGCGGGGCACATCGAAGACCTAGTAACCCAAGTGAAAAGCGAACAGGAAGCTCGAGAGAGTCTTGAGCGCGAGTTCGACGATGTCGAGAAGACTGCACGAGTCTGAGCTCCGACGCGAACGCCGTGCACTCGAAGACAAAGACTCCGCACTGCGCAACACCCTCGATGATCTCTCACGCACGCAGACCCTCCTCTCACAACGCCAAGGCGACCTCGAAGCCGTCCAAAACGCACTTCGGGATATGGAACAACGGTCCAAGGAGCTCGGGGAGACCCATACGACCGCGCGGTTCTCGTTGCAGCTAGAAGTCGACAGGCTAAAACGTGATGTCGACCGTTTTAGAGGACGAACTATCTCGTACGAGGAAAGATGTCGGCGACCGAGAGGGTACGACTCGTGATCGTGAAGATCTGATTCATAAACTGCGGCTCGAAGTACAACAGCTCACCACACAACTCAACACCCAAACTCAAGCACGTCTCAGTCTCTCAGAGAAGCTTGACAGCGCGCAAAGCAGTCTCAAGACCGCTGAGGCAGAGTCGTTTGGGTATAGGACGAGAGTGAATGAGCTGGAGACGCGGTTGTCTAAGGACCAGCGGACGTTATTGAGTGCTGAGAATCAGTATCGTGATCAGCTTACGGAGCGAAATACATTGCTGCTTACGATATATCAATACATGGATAAGATCCTCGGGGTGGATAAGACTCCCGTAAGTTCTTCCGTCACTCTCTAACACGCGTCACTCACTCACAAAAACATGTTATTTCGCAGAAGAAAGGCAATCAAGCAGAAACGAAGCCCTTCACTAATTTCAGCGTCTTCCACGACAACCTCATCACACGGCTCAAAGCTCTATCCCAGATCCAACTTGACTTCGAAAAGCGCGTCAAGATGCAGAAGGGAAATTCACTGACAAGCTTGCTGAGATGCGGAGGCAGCTTGATGTGCGGTGGAAACAGATTGATAAGTTTGAGTCGAGCGTAAAGGCGTATGGTGAGGCAAAGTCTACATGGAGACGGAAGTTCACTGCAAGGAAGGGGAGATTGAGGGGTTGAAGGTGGGTGTTTTTATGAGTGTTTTTGATTTTACGTTGATTTTGATTAATACTCTTACTCTCATCTGCAAAGGCCACCAACGCAGAATTAACCTCGCAACTAGTGACATCCCGACGACCAACCCAAGGCGACTCCCAAGAAACAAAGACGCTCCTTTCCCGCGCAGTAAATGCTGAGAAACGCCTAGTGGTAGTTCAAAACCAAGCTCCTCCTAAGCGAAGAGAAGATTTCGAACATAAACCAAAAGACGACTACGGCTGATCAGAAATGGGAGGCGAGGGTGAAGGAGTACGAGACAAGGCTGAAAGCGGGGGAGGAGAAGTATAAAAGGGAGAGGCAAGGGGCGAAGGAGAGGGTGTTGGAGTTGGAAAATCAGATGAGGTTTGTGTTTTTTCCTCCCCTACCTTTCCTCTTTCCTCCTTGCATGTCCAAGGTCTTGTGCTGACGATTGGCACGGCAGGAGTCTAGAACGCCAGAACGAACTCGCTCAAAAACGGAGTGCGCAACTGGACAATGTGGCAGAGGCAAATAAAGGTCCCTCGCGGCCACGGTGATGATACCCTCCTTGCTGTTTGCCGTGTCTACGATGTTCACCCTTATGGGTGTTTTATAGCGAAGGTGTGCTCTTGCTTTCGTTCGGTTCTTGACGTCGCAATTTTGTATTAATTAGTAACATACATCTCATGTATTTTTCTTTCCTTTTTTTGCTCTGGGACAATGATCGTTGACTCGCATAGTTTAAAAGTGTGCATGATGACGGTGAATTGCTGCTGGATCACCATTAATCACGTAGTTGTCTGCGAACTTCGTGACATACTCAGGATACTCAACGAGCGTATTGATCGGGAAATTCCGTAGGGGAAGTAGAGCTTATTTTGGTCACTTACTAGCGATCAATCGGACCTTGCACGATCGAGGTACGTTGTTGATATTAATATCTTCCGCGCTATCCACGAGACTTCAAGCACACGATTCACGATGGCTTCAGACTCAGAAGAAAGCCCTATGCTGGAGCCCACCGCGCATGAATCTATCGATGACAGATTCGTGCCACATCAAAAGAGGTGGATTCTGTTTCACGTGTCCTTTGTGGGTTTGTTGGCTAGTGAGTACTGGCAGTTAAGGTCACGGTATACTGTCGACGTGATACTTACGAACATTGGTTAGTGTTCGTCCAAGTGACGTTCGTGCCTTCCATCCCTCAGATAGCTAAAGATCTCAACGTAACGGATGCTGTCGTCAGGTGTGTGTGATATGCACATATGATATGCAGCAGCGATCAACCTGTTTTCCCAGCTTGGCTTTCAGCCTATCGATCTTTGCTAATGCCATTGGAGAGTTGATTTGGTCTACTTATTCGTCTTTCTGTACGTGCATCCACTGCGGCCCCTTGTCTTTGTACTCGTGGTAGTTTTCGAGTTCAACCCCAGTCTTTCAGATGGTCGCCGACCGATATATCTCTGGGGAATGCCGTTTCTATGTGTTGGGAGCTGTGGTGTCGCCCTGTCCGCTTCGTTGCAGAGTCTGTTATTTTGGCGATTCGTCCAGATGTTTGGATGCTCTGGGGCGTTGTCGTTGGGGGCTGGGGTAATTGGTGACATCTATAAATTGGAGGAGAGAGGAACTGCTATCGGGGCATTCGTTAGTGTGAGGGATCGTTTATGATTGAATGGTTCCTCTAGTTTGGTACTGACACTACTATCTCAGGTCACAATCATCGGGTACGCTGTTGCCCCGTTTGTTGGAGGTAAACGCATTCTGCATGTTTGTGGCCGCTGGCTCTAGCAAATTTAAACAGGTGCGGCAACACAGTATTGGTCCTGGCGCAATTTGCATTATTCCATTGGCGCATGGGGATTACTCGAGATGCTTTTCATATACCTCTCGTTTCCTGAGACGACTCATCCCGGCACATTGGGCATCGATAAACTGCCATCCAGAAGATCGATGCATATCGCATGGATTAATCCTCTGAGCAGTCTTTGGTTGCTTCGCAGTCCGAACCTGTTCGCGGTTGTGAGTGCATTTACCATGCGCTAGTACAAAGTCTTCATTTTATGTGAGATATAGATGCTCGTGTCAACTATAATAACCAATACTAACTATAGTGGGTTGTTACTTGTTACCAATCGTGCAGTGCAATCTCACAAAAAGTGTAGTTCTCCTCGTACCGCTAGCGTATACTATTGTAAGCTGGCAATTGTCTTCCATCTCGCATCCTGATCGCAGTGTAGGGCGTCCGGTATGGAATCACGAACGAGGCCATCATCGGCGCGTTTTTCCTCCCAAACGGACTGGGAAGCTTCAGTATGTGCAGAGCATTGTGATCGCAATGCACCAACACAATCTTTGACAGCCGGAGCTCTGATCGCTGGCCGCCTATCAGACACTGTAGTAAGAAGATGGCGGGAGAAGCGCGGAGGAGCGTGGTGTCCCGAAGACCGCTTAAGAGCAGCGTGGATCGGAGGGTTTATCGTTCCATTGTCTATCGGGGCGTCAGGGCTGATTACGACGTATATTGGGGGCCCAATCGGCCTTGGGCTGAATATATTATGCCTCTATGCGAATGGAGTGGGGGTAAGCCCTGCCAGCTAGAACTTCATTCCGTGCATAAAGCAATTCATTGATTTCATAGGTCGACTTAGTGTTGAATCCTATCAACACTTATAATGTGGACGTAATGCATTCTCGAAGCGCAGAGGCCACAGCTGCTTGCATGTTAGTCTCCATGATATTGCGTGACCATCAAACCTGAACACGTTCATTTACCTATCAGGGCGAGTCGGTCGCTCATTATGTCTGCTGCCACTGCTGTTATTGTTCCATCGATCGAGCGCATGGGTGTTGCGTGGACGGACATCATCGCGGCTGTCTTTGCAGTCATTGGACAATGGTAAGGGTCTTTTTGACTGTAAAATTGGTGATGCTGATATTGCACTGCTTCAAATTTTCTGTCGTAGGATCCTTTCCTTGACAATTCGCTATGGCGATCGCATGAGGGCGAGCATAGATGTTGGTTTCTCGACACTGGAGAATAACTGACGGATTCATCTTCGTTTATCTGAAGGGAAGCATTGTATCAATATATGTAGCAGAATATACTCGTCACCATTGCCAATAGGCTGGTCTTTCGTAACGACTCAGAGCCACCTGGAGTAAAGTTGACTAAGAAACAAGTTGGCAACTACTCGGCGCTCAATTACACCTGCAACTTCGTAGTGACAGGTATATGTAACAGCTTGCGGCAAATCATGAACTAAAATCCTACGATGCTCCATATTAATCACTGGTCAGTGATTCCGAGAGGTGAGGTGATATGCGGTCGATTCCTCTGTTGTGGCGCGAGTCGGATTGATACCGTGATCTGTGCTAATAGTTTCTGTATGCTCGTTGGATACTGTGGGCGCGTACAGAGTTAGCACCCTTTGAGACCAATAATATCATACCATCTCGAACACAGAACGAAGGCGCTGGTAGATATAGAACACCTTGCACTCTCTGAAGGACTCGTAACTCGTTGGGAAGAATGTATTTCAAAGAGTAGGTCTGGAGAATCCAATTGTATTTATCTACATTAGCCACGGCAACTCGCACCAAGCGACAAGCTGACGACATGGATCTATGTAGCAGGTCAGTCTCGCAACCAGGATGAGTCAAGGTCTGTGTCGGGTGCATACTAGAATAAACATTGCTGAGACTTTCGGATAAGTCGCGGTAAATCGAACCATAAATTGATAACCTATCGTCCACCATAACAAGTCATGTAATTCGCGATACATTGTAATAGAGACATACGGATCTGATTTTGGACGCGCACAACGTGCACTTGCAAATTAATTTACAATCAACTCACGCATGCAGTCCGTCCTCTCTCAACACCAAGGCAACTCGAAGGTGTCCAAAACGCGCATTGGGTGGGAATAATGGTCCAAATAACTCGGGAAGACGCATGGTACACAAGACAGTACAATTTTTCTTGCTGCTAGAGGTCGGGGACGAGATGCCGATGGTCTTGAGGATGAACTTTCACGTGAGTGCGAAGATGTCGGCTGAGAAGTATGACTCACGTATCATGATCGTGAAGATCTGATTTATAAACTGCTGCTGAAGTACAACCACTCACCGTTTAACACCTAGACTTAAGCGAACCTAGGTCTCTCAGAGAGACCGCAGAAAAATCTCGAGACCGGTGATGTGGACTCGTTGCTCAGGCCTCAGGATAGGGTTACCCACGCAGCCCTCCATAGTCAATGTTATGTCAAACTGCCGGCGATTTTACGACCGACCTACTTATCTAAGGGGATTCCCACAAAACTAAAACCATTCTCTCTGAGAAATTCTTGATACCAGTGGTTCAAGGACGACTACGACTGGTCAGGAATGGGAGGTGAGATTGAAGGTCGAAGAGAAGTCTAAGAAGGAGAGACAGGGCGCGAAGGAGAGGGTGTTGGAGTTGGAGAGCTAGAAAACTTTTGCTTCCCCCTCCCCATTTGTCTCTCTCTCTTTGCATATCGAGGTCTTGTGCTGATGATGTTTTACGGTTAGAGTACGTCTAGCCTAATGCCAGAATGGTACTCGCTTGAACACGTGCATTGATTAGTAATCGATTAGTAACTTGCAACTTACATCTATATTGGTTACAGTCTTGACAGGTCTTGACTCGTGATGCATTGATGTATCTTGTCGGCAGGTAGGCAACTCATCCTTCTCAGGGAGTCAGCTCATGATTCACAATGGCTTCAGAAGAATGTCCTTTGCTGGTGCCCGCCGCCCATGAAGCTATCTATAACAGATTCGCGCCACATCAAAAGAGGTGGATTCTGTTTCATGTGTCCTTTGTGGGTTTGTTGGCTAGTGAGTACTGCGAGTTTAAGCGTCTGTTGACCCAGAGGCGTGATACTGATGAACATTGGTCAGTGTTCGTCCAAGTGACGTTCGTGCCTTCGATCCCTCGGATAGCTAAAGACCTCGACTTAACGGATGCTGTCGTCAGGTGTGTGTTGTATGCTCATCCGACGTGCAGTGATCGAGCTATTTCCCAGCTTGGCTTTTAGCATATCGATCTTTGCTAATGCTATTGGGGCGTTGATTTGGTCTGCTTATTCGTCTTTCTGTGCGTACATCCACGGCGTGTTTTGTACTCTTGGTAGCTTTTGAGTTCTAACAACAGTCCTACAGACGGATGCCGAGCAATATACCTGTGGGGAATGCCGTTTTTATGCGTTGGGAGTTGTGGAGTTGCGCTGTCGGCTTCGTTGCAGAGTCTGTTATTCTGGAGATTCGTGCAGATGTTTGGATGCGCTGGGGCGTTGTCGTTAGGTTTTGGCGTAATTGGTCACATTTATGAATTGGAGGAGAGGGGGACTGCTATCGGGACATTCTTTAGTGTGAGGGATCATGGTGATTGAATGTTTTTTTTTGGTTTGGTACTGACACTGCTCTCTCAGATTACACTTATCGGGGACTCTGTTGCCCCGTTTCTTGGAGGTAAATGCATTCTGCATCTTTATAGCCGCTGACTCTAGCAACACATTTGAACAGGTGCGGCGACACA